GATCTTAGCTCCATTCAGTCCCAAGTTCATAAAAATGTCTACCATATGGAGTATTTAGACCCATGCATGTATTAAGACCTTTGTTAAGCTCTTTTTGAGCTATTGAGTCCCAATAAGCCATGCATGTGTGTAGAGTTGCCAACTTTACGTGATTAGTGGTCTTATAGAATCACATCTGAGAGTTTAGCATACTATCTTAACCGATTAAGTGCTTATTTGAGTGAAAAGGTGGCCTGAGGAGAACGTTGGGCGTACGTAAGTATACGCTCAGCGTAATGCTGATTTTGTGCATAAAGGACTTGTACTCTGTGCTTCGAGGCCGTGTACGCGGGGCGTATATCTCGACTATGTACGGCGTACTCCCCAATTCAGCATTATTGGGAATTTTTGAGTTTGAGCCTTGTTGGACCATTGGGCTTCCGTTTTTAGGCCATGATTAGGCTGTGGACTTTCTTGGTATTTGTCCTATGAGATTTTTTAGGCCCAATTAGGAAGTTGGGCCATATTGGGCTTGGGTTTCCATCTTGGGCTTTTTGTGCAATTTGGGTTAGACCTTGGTTTTGGGCCAAGTAAGAAAAGGGTAAAATGGTCTTTTATCCTTTAGGAAGTTGGTTTATGGAATTGGCCTCAGGATTTTGGGTTGTCAGGTTAATTTTTATTAAGATTGTATTTGTTGTTAGCTGACGCAAGGATTACCCAGTTCAGCGGTCCGAGCAGTGATTTAATTATCAGCGGTTTGAGCTGAGTTTCCTCACTATGTTAATGGGTCGAAGGCACCAATGTCGGCCCATGGTTTATTATGTTTAGAATGCTAGTTGTCTATATGACTATGCATGTATGATATATGATGCCAGGTGGGGCCCGATGCCAGGCGGGGCCTTATGAGTACATTGTATGTTATTTATCAATATGTGTTTTTATGATTTTTGGGTACGACCCGATGTCGGGCGGGGCCCAATGACTAGTCAGTATGCTATTTATCTTTGTGATTATGGCATGTGATGTGTGTTTATATGTTTATATGTATACCGGGCAGGGTCCGATGACTGACAGATATGTATACCGAGCGGGGCTCGATGCCAGGTGGGGTCTGATGCCCGTCGGGGTCCAAACTCGGGCGGGACCCCGTATATGTTGATATGTATGGTATGTAGTATTTTGGGGAACTCACTAAGCTTTGTTCTTACGGATATATTATGGTTATGGTTTCAGGTACTTCTGGTTCGAAAAGGAATGGTCCGACTTGATCACAGCGCATCTACCCATATTTCCGCATTATGATGATTTTGGGGTTGTACTCCGATAACTGTTTTCTTATAAAGCACTTTTGAATATTTAGAAAAAGGGTATTGAATGTTGACTTAAACATATATAATGTTTTGGTTGAATTAAAAATGAAATTTTTACCTCATAATATTCGGAGGTTAAAAGTAGTTTGTTTCGGAAGCACCTATGATCTTGATAGAGGAGCGTTCAAGCTGCTCAGGTTGTGTACCGGATATAGAAAGCATGGTTAGCTTTTAGTATGGGTTGATTATCTTTGGTTAATATGGACAAAACTTGATATGTTGATCAACTTCAGGGTTTAGTATTTGTATTTTTGTATGGATTCCTTCAGCAGTATATGAGATCTTTGGGTTTAGTTTGTTGGTTTACTTCCGATCGATTGGTCATTTGTTTCCTCGTCAACATCTGGAGGTCATTCGAGGGTTTCGAGCGGTAAAATTTAAAGGTGTAATTGGTGCGTCAACCCATTATCAAACTTTTTTCAGTCGTATATCTACATTTATGAGTATCTTCCATTGGTTGTCTGGTTGTGGGACTTTGTTTTAGCAAGATCAAGAATGGCGGTAGTGTTTGGATAGTGAACGTTTGGATGTTGCAATGACGTTGTTTGATTTTTCAGGTGCGATCGGGATTCTATACAGAGTCCAGTTTTGGTTTTTCGCGTCGCCATGGTTGGTATATGGGTTGATCCGATTAAGGTTATGATAGCATTTTGGGTGATTTTGGAGTTTTCCTCTAGATTGGGAGTTTTATTGGGATAGTTGCGCGTTAATGGAATTTGCTCATCTCTAACTAAGGATTGAGGATCGTGTTTCGGATGCTTAAGAGAAGGTTTCTCTTACCAGTTAAGGTACATCAATTAATTGGATATGACTATATTTCATCGTTTGGGTAAGGCTGTGATGAAGAAGTAACACAGTCGACTTAAGGCACAATGTATGTTCCCCTATGGAATGTTAAATCTTGATAATTCATCAAATATTGTTGTCAAAGGTGTACGTGGACTAAGTAAGATATCCTGAGAACACTTGGTCTAACTTTATGGAATGGTTCTTTTTTGATGTATTGATTTTGATTTGGAACAAACGTTCCACTGTCTATCTTATGTTGGATCGGTGGTACCTTGGACTGTAGAAGGTTTGAGTGTTATAGAATTATATGGTTTGTGTTGTGCTTAGTAAGTGATGAGTGGGATGATTGTTGTGTACCTATAGGCACACTGAAGTGTTGGTCGTGCTTCTCCGTGCCCATTACTGGATGATGGCAAGAACAGTGTAAAACGGTAAGCATATCATTCTAATGATTCGATGGTGTCTCGATGGTAAGCATATTGAGTGGATGAGATCTTTGGGTCTTGGTCCGTTAGTCTAGTGGTGGATTAGTGTTGACTTGTCAGGAAGTTAATATGTATTCGAATTCTTTTGGGCATAATTTCAGGATTCGGGATTGGTTGAAATTCACGATCAAGATGTTTTTGGTGTGAATTCTGCATTATTTGGTGGTGTTCCTAGTCACAGACTAGAGATAGGTACGAAAAGGTTGATCATCAGTCCTCAGGTATGGTTTCTAGAGTTTAGACTGATGGGTTCCTAGTCTTGTGAAGTTTATTGATGGATTTGGTTTAGATACAGTTAGTTTCCCAGTTTGAGTGGTTTTCGCTAGGAATTGGGTCTCCTAGTTGGGGAAAGAGAGAGGTAGTTGTTGCAGTTGAGTATTTTCAAGTGATTGGGTTGTTTGTTGGCATCAGTTGGGTTCTGAATTATCACTTGAATTTCCTTTATATATGCTTTAATTATATGAAATGGTTGGAGGATGTCTCTATTTTGGGATAGCGTACCATAACTTGATCAAGTGAAGGTCTTGGGCTTTAAGGGAATAAAATTTATACATTATTAGATGTTGGTAATGTTGGTGAAATGACTTCAGCCCTTTGAAATTTGCCTCAAAGCCAAAAGGGTAAAATGGGAAAATGATATTTTGGACTTGTTGCATGCATTAATAAATTCAGTTCGGTATGCTTTAAAGAAAAAGTAATTTCATAGAATTATGGGGCTTGTCAATCTTCACATGTATATAAATATCACTAAAATCGGCTTCATAACGAAGAAATTATGATTATTTGAAGTTGAAGTTGAAAACCGAAAATTCATGAATATATCTGAAGAGCGTGTCGCGCTGTTTATGAGCGCGGGGCGCCGCCGACCCAATGGGCTGCATGTTTTTTAGGGTTTTGGGGGTATATAAAGTCTATAAACCCTAAGGGTTCGGCGTGTTCATCCTCTACCTCATTTAGAACATCTCTAATGAAATCTAGCCTCCATTATAGTGTCTGGAGCTCATCCTCTCTCCTAAATCCATTTTGGTACACTCTTAATGACCATTTAGTGCTCTTTTGTTGGTGGCATTGTGTTCCAGAAGGATGAAGAACATGAAATATTGGTCTTTGAAGCTATGTATTTGAAGTATTCAACCTCTATTCACCTAGAGACCTTTATAAGTCTCAAAGTTCCGATATTTATTGTGTTTTATCTTTAGATATATGAATATATGGATTTTTGTTCCATTTTAATGAGTTTTAGTCCCTTGGTGGCTTGTTACATAGACTTTGAAGAGCTCTAAAGCTTTTGATTGATGTTTGTGATGATATATGGTCATTTGGTGGAGTAGAGAACACGATATCATCAAACTGGTGCTGAATGATTAACTCTCACACCTCAGAAGAACTCGATGAAGAATTACTTCTGTCGAGGCGTGTATTAGGGTTACAAAGATAATTCTGAGAAGTTACCAAACATACGTAGCATGCATGCACCTTATATAATATAACCCTAGCATTAAACACGAGTGGATAGGCCCAACTCGTTTATACATAATGGACAAAATAACATAGGCCCAATGACGCAACACTAATATCTTCAACAATCTCCCCCTTTGCGTCAATTGAAACCATAGCCATGTTAATTCGTGATTCGCTTCTGCACTTCGTAGACTTTGGGAATGAAATTCAACAGCAGCTTGTGAACATCAATGTACCAAGTGATCACATCAGTGAAACACTTCACATCATCTTTGTTGTTGCCCTTAAACTTCACAACAAGCTCCAAAATAAACTCCAGACAAGAAGTAGTAAACAAGTGCTTGTCTTCAAGATGAAAGAATAACTTGCGTCGATCTGCTCCTGGACGATCTCTAGTCGTGTATACCACAAACCATCCTTCTTTGTAAATCTTTCCTGGCTTGAGCTTCTGGAAGTCTTTCGGAGCTTCTTTTTGAACAACAGTTGGTTTTTGCCTCAAAACAGTGGCAATTTCCACATCCATCAACCCAACTTCCTGAATGTAAGACTTGATCATGATTTGAAGATGAGCAAACACAGGTTCGTACTTCTCCTTCTCTCGCAACAAAATATTGAATATCACCATCCAGTCATGGGGGTTCAAACAAGGCAGATTTGCGAGAGTGAAATCGCAAGCTGGACATACAGATCCTCTCGCAACTTTAAACTTCTCATTAGGGAAGCTTTCAGTCTCAATTGGCCCAGTAACCTTCACAGCTACAATTTTGCTCGCACTCCAGGTCTCGAACTTGGGTTTCATATGCTTCAAGTAGAAGGAAAATAGCAGTTGATCCCCAGTTCTGTCTGAGAAACGAACATTAGCAACTTTTATAAAGGCACGAAACCTGAATGCCTTTGGAGTGATAGGAAGGTCTAACTACGAATCCTGTGAATTTTGGACATCAAAGGAAGCAATAGGATCCAACCAATACTGAGCATTTTCATCCAACTCTGCTTCACAAGCATTTTCATCCAACTCAGCACTTTCTTTTTCCTCAGCCTCCTTGAAGATACGAGCATTTTCATCCAACTCTGCTTCACGAGCCTTCCGCCTTTTAAGTTCAGCTTCATCAGGCTCTTCGTCTTCGTCATTGTCAATAATGGGTTCATTGCTGAATAACGTTTCCTTATCTTTTGGATCTTGCTTGATGACATGAGGTTTAATTGAAACTTTGGGGTTGACATCATCCATTTGAACTGTTGGATATAGTGTCTAAGTCCATAACTTTATTTGGTATGTACTTGACCCGACCCGGCATGGTCCATTTGGGTTGCATGGCATTGCAATACTTGGATAGACTAGATGAGAGAATAAGGCACTTATGATTATTAATATATTATAAGTTCTGATATATTAATAATAGTATTATTTAATTAGTATTGATCAAGTATTAATCTAGTATTAATTTGGTGATCAAAGTGAGACTAATTAAATATATAGGGTTGATTATGACAATCATCAATTCTTTTATGGTGGATTAATGATCCATGGTTTATGGGTTTGGTTATAACCATATGGAGCTCCATGGATAGTCCATGGGAGTTACAAACCCATGGGTCATGAGAAATCAAGAGTCATGACAATTAAGGGCATTCATATGTAAACCCTAATTGTGACAACAATATAAAAGGAACCCTATGGCTAGCAAAATGGTGACCTAGTTTTTCTAGTGAGGGCATAACCGATTTTCAAGTGTAAGAAGTATTCTCTCAAGTTATTCCAAGTCTTGTGGTGTTGTGTGAAGCATTTGAGGCATAACATTTGGGGTGCTAGGCTCACAAAGTCTTGAAGGAATCCAAGCAACAACAAGGTATGTATTTCTACTAGTTGTATGTTCTATGTAATCCCCATGCCATGCTAGTTAGGAAATAACCTTGAAAAGAAATTTGCATGTATATAGAGAAAACATAGATTCAAGGTTATTAGGGTTGCATGTACACTTAGGAAGTGTTAGAATGCTCAAAACCCATCAGTGGTATCAGAGCCTAGGATTGTTTTCTGTATACTTGATGCAAAACTGCTTAAAAATCGAAAATTCTGCACTCTGACGACTGGACTCGCCGAGTCCATGAAAAAATTCATCCTACTCGACGAGTAGAATAATGCACTCGACGAGTAGGAGCGTGCTGGGCAGTTTTTTTCGAGTTTTGTTGCTGGAAATGGATTAAAATCATTATCCCAATCTGTTTTGGACTTGTAAAATCTGTTTTTCAAAAGGATAATGATTATGTTAACCCATTTTACATGACTTTTATCAATTTTCAAGTATTGTATATGTTTGTATGATTTCTTGAAATTGCCTGACATGAATTTGTGTTCTTATGAGTTTTAGAAGATCATAGGAATTATGTGTAACCTCCATGTGTGTTTAATTCATGATCTTAATGGCAATGATGGTGTCCATAACTTGTCCTCAAGTTATGGATAACCAAAAGTCACTTCTTTAAATTGTGATTAAAGAACTAAAGAGGTTTCATAAAATGAAGAGTCTTCATTTTATGAACCATTAAAAACTCATAAGTTACAAATTGAAGAGACTTGGAATAGTTTCAAATCTTGCCCTCAAGTTTTGGAATTTGAAAAGTCTTACACTTTAATACTTTAATTCCAAATTGAACCTTAGGTTTTTTAAAAAGTTTAAAAATCAACACTTATACTATTATTATAATTTTATTATATAGATATGTATAAGAATATGTCATTCTTACCGTTAGTAGGCCTCATTCACGAAGCTGGTCTATAAGGGGGGTGGAAGGTTGTTGCCTATAAAATGGTGACTTAATGGGTGTCCACTCTCACCCACCGCTTCCTTGATCGGTGGAGGGTCGTTAGCCGAACGGGTAGGATACGACTTTAAATACTCATTAAAAGTATAATGAATTATAAAGTAACTATACATTATAAATTCTCAATCTTAGTTACTTTAGGAAAATGTGAAATTGGTGCTAGCCCATAAAATTACACTTTGTACCTTACCAAGTCGTTAGTGGAGCGTGTGTGGTTAACCGGCACACTAACATGGACTAGTAAGTGTGGCAAAGGGTAACTTGACTTTATTATAGATCGGTGGAGCGTGTGTGGTTAACCGGCACATCGATTAGGTAATATTGTTGAGGGTACCAAGTCAATTTGTATGGTTATTCACACCTTGTTTGTGATCCTCGGCATCCCAGTCACAAACTTGAGAGGGCACAATCGAGATTCAAAAATGCCATTGAAAGTTCAATGTATCTCAAAAGATCTAGGAGTTTCAAATCCAATTAAAAACTTAATTATATTTCGTTTTTATGGTGGAAATTGGTAAATCGTCATTTACCTACCTTCAACTATTTTATAATTTGGATTACGGCATCCCTCTTCCAGTTATAAATAGGTTGTTGGGTCCTAGCCTTAATATTTCATATTGGGTGTTATATTAAGGACTTTAAATCAACTAACTTGAATTTCTCCCATTATAGATGTCTAGTTTAGACAGCTATGGTCTTCCCAAATCTTTAGGAACAAGCTTCCTAATGAAGATGATATCCCAAATGGCAACCAAGGTGAAAGATCAATCCCTTTGTTGTGCATTAGTGGGACTGGAAATCATACTTCACTTCCTCCACCTCCTCCAATAAATCTCCTTATCCCACAAGTTTCAAGACCTGATAAGTTCTAAGCCACTCAATCCTTATTGGCAAACAAAGTCTATATGTGCTTAGGTCTTGGAGATTAAGTCCCATATTGACAAGCCGGGAGAGCCGGGTGTCGAAGTATCGAGGTAGCTGGCTGTTGACTTGGTTCTTCAGTCACTCCCTGATAACAGATCACGACATGACCCTTAATGATCTTACCTATTTTCTTGATGATGCTGAATCAGCAATGATTTGGAGCATTGGTAAAGCAAAATTTAATTGGAAGATCAACTTCCCAAACTTCCGTGGACATTGACAATGGTAACATCGGAGGTCCAGAAAAATTTTTTCTTCCCAATTGAAAGGGATTGGCCATAGTCAACTCGGTTGACCAAATGGTAAAGAGAAAGGGTAAGTCTGTGTACCGTTTCCAAAGAGTCCATATGTTTCTGTTGCCAAAGGAAGGGCATTGGTTGCGAAGCTGCCAAATTTACCTAAAAGTCCATAAGGATAGTAAAGTCAAATGTTTGACTCTGCTTTAGGTAAAGTCCATTATCTAACTTTATTAAGTTTCTATTCTGAGATTCTTATTGCATGATGTGACTGGGTCACATATTGATGTTTTAAGAATCAAAGAAGAGTGAAGAAACTTAAAGGAAGTATATGCTGATTCTGATGGTGAAGATGGATTTCGATCGCATGGTTCGGTGATCAGAATTTTGAGTTGTTACTTAAAAGTTATGATATATTTCTTAGGAATAGATAACAACAAGTTTTTCATATGGATTGTAAGGATAAGTTTTCCGCAAAGTTTTAAAAATAAAAGAAAATGGTTTTGATTTTATTTTAAGTATCCTTACAATGGCATTTGTTAAAAAGGTTGTTGCTTATATGTTTCCATTGATAAGAAATATGGGTAAATGGATTTGATTCTTTCATTAGTGGTAGTGTCATAATTTACCAAATAAGGAAAGATTCTCATCACCCAAGTTTCAATTGGATAGAAACTTGGAATCATGCAAGTTGTATTGTGTGATGAATGAGAATTTTCATCTTTGGTAAATTAAGACTAATTCCTTGTTCACTTTCGCATGTGAGTCAAGCGAAGGACTAAAGGATCGGGTACATTAAGTTGTGCACCAGTCAGGTCCACCACAAAGGTAGATAAGATTATTCGTTATGATTTACTAAAGTTTAGTAAATATGGTTATGCTTACGAGTTTAAGTGTAATTCTGAAACATTGGAAAAGTTTCAATGTATGGCAGAATGAATAAGAAGAATCAAATAAGGCAGAAAGATAAAAGTTTCTCCAATCTGAAAGAGATGGGAGAGTACTTGTGTATTTTGTTTTATGATTATCTTAGTGATTATGGAACCATATCACAATTGATCCTCTAAGGACACCTTAGTATGTTTGTTGCCTGAGGAGAGGAATCGTGAATTGTTGAAATGGTTAAATCAAAAGATAATTCATACTTCGTTCCAAAAACAAATCCTGGAGTAATACTCCAAGATTGTAACTTGAGTGACATAGTCTTTAGAAGGTTCATAACACTTGTCAAATGTAGAGTAAGATGTTTCCTATTCTTGTACATTTGAGATTGGTAAGTTGTGATGTTTTGGATAAAACAAAGACCAGCTAAGACCAATAGTGAGAAGTGTTGAACTTGATAAGAATCCGCACTAGCTTTTGAATATTTGTATTGTCAAGAAATGGTTCTTGACAAAGAAAAGTCTTATATGTCAAGAGGACAGTGGGAGTCTAAAAGATTATGAAATAGTTTCAAAAACTAATCAAGAGTTTTGTTAATCCCTATCCCACGACTTGAGGTTTGTAACCTATCGTGTTGACATATTCTTATTTCTGTGTCTATTCCAGTTAAAAGTTGATTATGCTTGTGAGTTCTATGAGTTCTCAATTGTTTGCATAACAACCCGGAAGCAATGGTGGGCATTGTGCTACCAGGTGGCAAGAAATTAAGATTGAACAAGTTCAGTCTATATGAGTTTGGATTTGTCACTAACCTTGTCTTGTGATTATGGTTATGAAAAATTCACATGGATAGGAACACATACACCATAAAAATCTAAGTGTCATAAGGTTTCTCTTCGATTCATGAAAATGATGGTAAGGAAACTCTTTCACTAAGTAGATTTTGAGTAGATAGCAATTGTGAGAATGACAAAAGGTCTAAACATTATGATTACGGCATCCCTCTTCATAATTGTTTAGACACACAAGTGAGCTATCTAAGGAAAGGTGTATGGTTTTGATAAAGTCTTATCAAAGAAATTGCATATCAGAAATCTGAACTTTGGTAGAAAAGTCAATAAAGTGTTGGTTTCTAAAAGTCCAGCTGATCTCTGGATACATGTCAAAGCTAGTGGGAGCATAAGTGTTATGCTAGTAAGATAATAATCATTATGCTAGTGGGAGGATGATGTTAATTATAGAAAACAAAAGTTTCAATTCGCCTTGAAAAAGTTGTTTTGCTATAATTAAGGGAGAGGATTTTGTACTTCACTCCAATTCTACAAGCTTAGATTGAGAATTTAATCTACTTTAGTCAAGAATA